TAGTCCACTTATTTATTGGGCAATTGTTTCTTTGAAGATTTGTTGTTGGGGGATTTAATTTTTTGAGTTCCAGGTATATTTTAGATATGAGACCCTTGTCTGTTGTAAGGCTAGTGAAGATCTTCTCCCAATCGGTGGGCTTTCTATTGATCTTACTAGCTATGTCTTTTTGCCATGCAGAAGCTCTACAATTTTATGCAATCCCATTTGTCCAACCTTTCTTTGATTTGTTGTGTTTCTGGGTCTCTATTAAGAAAAGTTTGCCTGTGCCAAAGAGACCTAGGGTTTCTCCTATTCCATCCTGTAATTTTTTCAGGGTGTCTGCTTTGACTCCGAGGTCTTTGATCCATTTGGAGTTGATTCTGGTGTAGGGTGATATATAAGGATCTACCTTTAGTTTTCTATGAGTAGTTAACCAATTTTGCCGGCAACATTAACTGAAGAGACTGTCTTTCTTCCATTCTACTTTTTTAGCTCCCTTATCGAAGATTAGATGGCTGTATGTCTGTAGGCTCATTTTGGGTTTTCAATTCTATTCCATTGGTCCTGAGGTCTGTTCTTGTGCCAGTACCAAGCTGTTTTGATTATTATGGCTTTGTAGTAGAGTTTGAAATTTGGTATTGATATTCCTCCAGCACTGTTCTTTCTATTGAGGGTCATTTTTGCTATTTGGGGTCTTTTATTGTTCCATATGAATTTTTAGATTGCCTCTTCTATTTCATTGCAGAATGAGGCTGGAATATTGATAGGTGTCGCACTGAATTTGTAGATAGCCTTATGAAATATTGCCATTTTCACGATGTTGATCTACTTGGGGTGATTTTTATGAAATGGGATCATTCACTAAAATTAAGAAATTAGCATAAGTTTTCCTAAGTGGAATGCCTACACTCACCAGGTAAGAGTTGTTTTTAAAAAGTAATCCTCAAAACATAAGACTCCTTAAAAATTTCAATGTGTATGAATGGACAAAGCTGTTTTTAAAATTAGGGCAAATACCCTATGCAAATATAGATAGGTAAACTTTGACTGATTTATACTTAATCATCTCTAATCATAATGATCTCAGAGATTTTTGGCTATACCCATTGCAGAGATTAAATACATGCAAATATTTTCATGGCAAAAGCACATATAATTTTCACACTGTGGGATAAAGTGATGCAGAAAATATTTTGAGTTTCTTTCACCTCAACTTTTTCCTCAGATATTAAAATTGTCTTCTTGGAGAAAAATAACAATTTTTGAAAGAGAAAATTTGAAAGATAAGTTGGAAGAGACAAGAGTGAAGCTATAATGTAGAGGCTCTTCTGCTTTTGTTTTCCCACATCAAGGATTTACCTTTTGTTTCTCTTGATATGCCTTTGCCCTTGTTTTCTGAAACCTGGCCTTTGGTATAAATTCAGCCTAGGAGTCTATACCAGGAATCATCTAGTTGAAATCAATTCTTGCCTTGAATAACATGACTCTAAAATAGAAAGCAGCCCTGAGATCATAATACAGCTTACCCACCAAATATTCAGGTGTTTGAATTGGGTGGAAAGCTCAAAGTAATGTAATGGAAGTGGCTTTGAAAGTCAGAAAGACCTAGTTTGAAGTTTACCAGCCACATTCAAAATCTAAATCACTTGGGACTATTTTCTCAATATTCCTGAAACTGAAATAGGGAGTTAGGGTCTGGCTGGCGCCATCTTGGCCACATGGTGGATGGTAGAGTCTGTCACTTTGTCTTCATGGTGGGGGAAGTTGAAGCCCCTGCTTCCCAGGTGATGGGCATACCTGAATACTTAGAGGCAGAGGTGGGACTTGGCTGATAGGTTACTAAACCTGTGAGTCTATTGCCAGGGTCTGGGAGTTTCCTGTGACCCTACCCCTTGACCTGACCATATTTAGGCTCAGACAAGCTCAGGTGCCATTTCACCATGCCATGTGTCTCCTTGTTCCTGTACTATCTCTTGTCTCCTGGCTCTTCTCTATAACCATGGTATCCCACTTCAGCTCTCCATTGGAGCTGAATTAGCTTGTTGGTATTGGTTTTGTTCTTTTTTTTCTCTCTGGTCTTCATGGCTTAGTTTCCTAACAGTGTTAAGTGTATTTACTGGCTGCTTGTCTTTGAGACAGGGGTCCACCATGAAGTTGCTGGCCTTTTAATAAAGACTCCAAGATTCAACCTCTCAAAATGTGGCTTCTTCATTTTCTCACCTTATAGCTAAACAAGTATTGAGTTGAACTGTAGGTTCCTATCTGCATGTTTCATTTTGAAACGGACCCTGAAACAAAGATTCAAGTGAACATAATTCACTTCTAATAGGAGGAATGTTGTAAAGGGAATAGGTAAGCAAAACACAGGGACATCATCTCAAGCCTATTATCCAAGCAGTGAGTGGAACTTATACCTTTGAGGAAAATTCTGAAAACTAGTGTAAAGTGTCTATTTCAAGGCATTCTACCAAGATGCTGCAGTTTTTATATACTAAATCCCTTTCAACATTGGTTGAGGGATACTTAGGAGTTATAATTTCTTGGCAGGTTATAATTTCTTGTCTTGCTGGAAAATAGAGAAATAAAGGTTCTAAGCATTCTTGCTTCTTTGTGTCATCTGCATCAGTGAGATCTATCCTCTCTTTCCTGCAAAGTTCTCTGAATGTTACCATCCATCCTTCAATGTGATGACTTGTTAGACTTTCTTTTTTGTCTAAATTTAATTGTGATATAACCTCAGATACTCCCTGTTACAGTTACTTCTGAGTCTGTAAATGTTATTAGGATCATCAAGAACTTTGGTGAGAGGGCCCTTTTTTGCTTTCACCTGCTGGTATCCAGACCCATATGGCTAGCCAACAGTTTTGCTGTTTGTTCAAAGTAAATATCAAATCGTATTCCAACACTACTGAATGCTCTTCCCAAGCTGTACATTTCAGACTCCATTCCAATATTCTACTAGACTAGATGCTTCCATACCATACATATAGGAGAACATATAGTAAAGTATAAATGAATCCCATTATCATATAGCCTGAGCAGACGTACAGTAGGGGGAACCTACTGTAGAGCCTTCTCTTGGCCTAGGCATAACCAACAGAGTTGCAAGTCAGGACATTGTACACTGGTATATCTGAGATTAAGAAAAAGAACCTTTCTATTGAAATGAAAATTGTAGATGACATACTCAGCAAATAGAACTAAACTTTTTCATGATAGTTCTATAAAAATAATTCAATACTTTCATAAACTAACCAGTTGAAATTACTACCTGAATTTGAAAAAGTCTTGTGCCAAGCCATGCCCTCAGAAAATATAGCATATACATTTAATGGCGGCCTTTAGTCTGGGTCAACAAAGAGTTTTAAAAGAAAAAGTACCATGTGATGTTCCACAGCCTGGTCCTGGGGAGGGACTTAGTACAACACATATATATGTATGCTTATACATATATATGTATAACATTTCCCTTTTTGTCATTTCTTTTGAGGCTAAACTTACTTTCACAGCTCCACCAGCTCAAAGTGTGAGGGAACATATGTGTATCCATACGTGCAACACAGGCTCCTCCATGCATTTATTACCCAGAGACTGGTGATTGAGGAATATTTGTACTATATTCTTTTTACTCATGGTGAGTCATTTTACTGTACATTTCAAAATCTGTGATAAATTGAAAGTTCCAAGAATATTGGTAATTTTCAACAAACAGCTTCCCATCTAGAAAAAGAGGGGTTTTATTTATAACCAGTATTCAGTTACAGTGGCAAAAAATTTGTCATTCAAATTATTTTGTTTCATTACATAACTGAAGGGCTAAGTAAAAACACTCAATACCTCCACCTTAAAAAATATTCTTCAATTATTTCAAAATCTGCACTTTGTGATAGTGGTCTGGCTTCTGTTTCTTCCTTTGGACTCTCTCTCTTTAAAAAATATTATCTTTAAGTACCAATTTCTCAGTTTTATTTTGTTGAACTGTGATTTTTGTCTGTCTAAGGAATTACACTGTTTGAGTCTCCCCTACATCCACCATATTTCAATTAAGGCATTTATGTACACTTGCATACCACCCAAGGTTTTTACTTACATATTTGTAAACTAATTCTACCTTCCACATATGAGGGAGCGTATTGAACCTTCTTCTCTTGGGGCCTGACTTACTTCACATTACATAACTTTTCCAGATTTTTCCATTTCTTTGCAAGTAATGCAATATCATTTTTTCTAATGGTGAGTAAAATTCCATTCATCCAGTGAGGAGCATCTCTTCTTATTCCAAATTTTGGCTATGGTTGTGCTGGTGGTTTTACTACATCCTAGTTTGTAATTTTTTAGATAAATGCCCAGGAGTGGTATTATTAGATCATAGGGTAGAACTAAATGAAGAAACATTTAGTTTTTTTGAGGAACCTCCATGCTACTTTCCAAAGTGGTTGTACTTCCCATTCCCAACAGTGACCTCTGGCTTATAAACAGGTAATGAAAGTGCTAGGGACCTGATTCTGATTTTCTGTTTAACACATGACAGTTTTGCAAGTAGAAGTTTGTTTACCTTGGAATTATTTCTCTTTGATGAAGTGATCACTTAACTCAGTAGAAAGGTGACTGTTAGTCTTAGTTCAGATAATTGCATGTTGTGACTGAAAGTTAAATGTACATAGTAGGCACTCCTTATGTGTTGATGTTTGAATAAATGAAGACCTTCAAAATAAATGTATAAATGATATTTCTCCATGAAACAAAAATAGACATGGTCCTGTGAAATATAGGCATGATTATTTTGTATCACTTTAAAATTTGGCAGGCTACCAAATGTTAATTTGCTTTTAGCTAGTTGAGATTAAATGTAATTCCTTCCCAGAGCAACCCTAACATAAGTAAGCATGAAAGCATTTTCAGAGTAATCTGGGAGGAATTGACATTTAAAGGAGTTAGCATTACATTTGTACTTTAAGGCTATTAATTTCATAGATAAATTAACTTCATTATTCCATCTTTATCTTGCATTTTGAAAGGACTTCATCAGCTGGAGGACTGAAAGTGGAAGGTCAATTGAAACTGCTCTTATCCCAGCCCGGTTGTAACTGGAACCTGCTTCTTGAAACCCTGCTGTGTAATGATGGCCTTTTACCAAGAATCTTGTTGAGAAGCTCAAGTGAGTATTTGTAGTTAATAAGAATGTCCTCAAAAAACCTAGTCCTTGCTCTTGAGTTGGATGAAACTTTTTTCCTTCTTGAATATTAGCCAAAGGACATTAACTAACTACATGAATTAACAGTGTATGTAGTGACCAACAGGCAAACTTCTGAATTACTTTACCAAAATATATGATTATACTGGAGGTGAGACTCTCAATGAGGCAAAGTAATATTTTTATATGACATAATTCTATGAGAGCTGCCATTATATGGATGTATATCAATATTCAGGGTTTGAAATACCTGAAAAAACTGGAAGAAGAGCATTATACTTCAAAAGCATAAGTCTAAATTAGACAGGCAATAAATAAAGAGATAGAGAAAGATTGCATAGAGCAAGACTGGAAATTTTAGTATATCCAGAGAAGTGCTTATGCAATTTATAAGCTAGCAAGCTGTGGCTGACAATCATATCCATTGGGGCATGGAGAAGTAAATTCCTGAGAAAATGATGAAAGGAAAATTGAGGAGTAAAGGAAATCCATACTTCTCTTAATTCTTTTTTTTCTCTGTAAATGCTACTTTTGAAAATTATAAGTAAGGTTATGACAGTATATATTCCATTTCTCTACCACTTCTGTTAAGTCTTCTAACCTTTCTCACATACTCCCATGCATTAATTTCACTCTGTACCACACACAAATTCAGATTATTTTCATCTATTACTAGTTTCACTGCAGATTTCCCAGATCAGAATGTTTTTGTTTCCACCATTCAAATATGAACCTAGACTAGTTTTCTGTCATTTCTCTCAGGATTCCCTCATATACATCTTCTACTGATCCAGCTCTTTTCCAGACATTTCCACTGAAGCTCATGTATGTCCATCCTCTATATCATGGCTCACCTATTTTCCTACTTAGAGTCCCACCCCAGACATCTTGGCCTTTACCAATCCTCCAGAACCAGTGGAGGCTACAGATCTGTGAACATTCTGCCTCACATTGATTTTATTCTCCCTAGAACTTCTCAGTGCCCTTTATCTTGACCACTTTATTTGCCCCTACATGCTATTATAATTATAATTATCTATAACTGAGACCCTATAAGCTTGCTGGTACACAAACAAAGTTCATGGCATTCCTGTCCCCTTTCCCTCCCATTCAAATTGCTCTGGACATTTCTGATATTTTTTGTTTTTCACATCTGCACAGGACTTGTTTCCTAACTTTTTTCTCTTTTTAACTTTCATGTTTGTTTCCAAGAGGCCAGTAAAAGAAGGTACCTCTGTGAGATTATTGCTTTTTCTCTGATATTCTCAAAACCATAAAACCATTCAGTGCCAGAGGTCAACAGAACTCCCCAGGCCTCAGTGTGCTGACTCATAAGTTGCAGATTGCCCCACTCCTGAACTCTGAACCTGATATCCACCTGGTCTCTAAGCAGTACTGTTTTAGTGTCCAGTCTCACAAAGTTCACCTAAGGGCCTTTTTTTGGCTCCACACTGTAATTTCATTCTCATAAGGAGTAATTAGAAATAAGGAAACCAATTCCTCAAATAACTAGCATTTTGTGTACTTATTAGAAGGGAAGAAATATGCTAGCCACTTTGTATTTATTATATAATTTAATCCTTCTTATAGCCATATGAAGTATATACTTTTACTGTTTAGATCTTAAATGTCTCATAAAAGCTCATATATTCAAGGGTTAGTGCTCAATTCAGCAATGTTCAGAGGTAAGAATCTGGGTACTGATTTGTATTGTTGGTGCTCTGACTTATTCACTGAAAGGTGGAATTCTGATGGGCTATTGGGAGATGAAGGAAACTTGGGAGATGAGACTTTGTTGAAGAGAGTGAGTTCCTAGGAGTTGTATCTTCCCCTTGCCTCCTTCTTTCCTCAGGCTTTCTTAAGCTCTCTTAGCTTTCTTGCTGCCATGAGATTAAACATGGTTCCACCACACACTCAACTGTGTTTGTTCCACCACGTGCTCTCTGCCATACTGTTCTGCTTCCTCACAGCCCAGAAACCATGGAGGCAAGTAAGCAGGAACTGAAATCCCTGTGGAACTGTGAGCTAAAACAAATCCGTCCTGAAGTTGATTTTCTTAAGTATTTTGTTACAGCAACAGAAAGCTGACTGACACAACACTATTACTATCTTTAAGTTAAAAACAAGGCAGGCACTCAACCACTGAGCCACACAACCAACCCTGTGTGAAAAATAAAGACAATGGAATTTGAGATACATGTTGCTGATCTTCTGTATCTGTAGGTTCTGCATTTATGGATTCAATCAAATCAAGACAAGAAAATGTTTGGAAAGAATTGAACTTACACTAATATGTTCAGACTTTTCTTATTAGTCATTATTCTTTTAACACTATGACAATAGTTCACATGGCATTTTCATTGTGTTAGGTATTATGAATACTCTAGAACTGATTGAAAGTATAGAGCAGATACACATAGTTTCTATGCAGATAATATGCTGTTTTATGTAAGTATCTGGGTCACCCATGGATTTTTATCATGAAGGTTAAAGGGCTGTATGACATGGATAGTATCTGACACAAATGAGACAAATTTCTCTGATATAATTACTAACACTCACAGACATCAGGCCCTAAGAGAAATGGTCTCCAATTGATAGAGTTATGTATAGCAGTCTGGGCAATCAGTTATGATCTAACCTTTTGATTCTATTGATATAAGCCACTAAGTGCAGTGAAAGCACACTTGTGAATATTTAACATTCATACTTCCTTATCAAAACTGTGGTAAAACTGTTTTCTCATCTCTGTGACATGATGCTACTTTGAAGGGAATGCCACTTGAGTTGTTTTATTGTATGATCTCTAGTTACAGTTCCTGTCTAATACAATATTGTATTTATCTAACTGTTCAAATACCTATATTATTTTCCAAGAAATTTTTTGTTGTTGTTGGTCATGGGGCCTGAGTTCTGGGCCTGGGCGCTGTCCCTCAGCTTTTTAGCTCAAGGCTAGTGCTCTACCACTTGAGCCACAGCTCCACTTCCTGTTTTTTCTGCTTATTTGGTGCTGAGGAATCGAACCCAGGGCCTCATGAATACAAAGCAAGCACTCTACCACTGAGCCACCTTCCCAGCACCATGAAGATGAAGTGACAGCTCAAGTGGAGTACTAATAGAAACACTATGCTTACAGAATTTGATTAACTATGAAAATTGGGTTTATAAGAATAAGTTTGTAATATTTTGACTGAACTTTTCATTTTTTTATAAGCTTTACAGTATCTCAGAAAATCATTTGATAACTTAGAAGTCTGTCATTTTTATTTATTTATTTACTTTTAGTTCAGGTTTTTAGTTTATTCCTGTATGGAAAAAAATAGGAATATTGAAATGAAGTGGGTTTTTTTTTGTTTTTTTGTTATTATTATTATTATTGTTGTTGTTGTTGTTGTTGTCATGGGGCTTGAACTCTGGTCCTGGGTGCTGTCCCTGAGCTCTTCAACTTAAGGCCAGTGCTCTACCACTTGAGCCACAGCACCACTTCTGTTTTTCTGAGTGTTTTATTGGAGATAAAGTCTCAGAGACTTTCCTGCCTGGACTGGCTTTGAACCGTGATCCTCAGATCTTAGCCTCCTAAGTAGCTAGGATGATAGGTATGAGCCACTGGTGCCCAGCTGAAATATTTTTTTAGATTACAGTTATATTGTAAAGGTGATAAGCAGAGTGGTGACATAAGTAAGATAATGAATAGATTTCTTTTAAACAGCAGCCTCATTTTCTCCCAGTTTTCCTCCCTGACCTCCACCCCGCTCAAGTTGTAAAGTTCATTTCCAGCATAGTGTCTAGTGAGTATCCCTGTTGAATTTTTTCACCCTTTGTCCCACTGTTTCTGTGATTCCCTTTCCATTCCCCAAATCAGATAAACTTATATACAAGATAAAGGATACAGAAATTAAAAAACAGTGATAACAGAAAATAAACCAAAGGAGAAAAAGAAAAGAAAAAAGAAGTGCCTGAAAACAGTTCAATAAAAAACCTCTTGTTTCCTTTTCTTGGAGTTCATTTTGATAAGCATAATATTATGTGGTCATATACGCATAGCTATTGAGCCATTGTGATCCTCTCCTAAGAATATGCTCCTTTGTTATCAGTGTGCAGATGCATAGAGTGCTGTTTAATCGTGTTCATGTGTAATTTTTTGTCTCTTACTATCCATTGGATTAACTTGTAGATTCATAGGCATATTATAGTTATTAAAAATGAGGGAAAGCAAGCAGCCTAATTTTCTTTGGGTCTGGCTTACTTTGCTTAGGTCTTTTTTAGGTTTTTTCTATTTCCTTAGGGCAATGCCATTCTTTCTGATGGAAGCTTAGAATTCCATTGTGTATATATGCCACATTTTATTTCATCTACAGAGAGGTATCTGGGTTGATTCCCTATCTTAGTTATGGATGCCTAATCTCTCTGTTCCTCTTCAATATAGTATTGGAATTCCTAACTAGAAAAATAAGAAACAAACATAAAGGGGATCCAAACAGGGAAAGAAGTAAAACTTTACCTCTTTTGAGGTGATATGATCATGTTTTTAAAAAACCCCAGAGTCTTTCCCTCAGTTACTTGAGCTGATCTTAAAAACTTTGGCAGAGTAGCAGGGTATAAAATAAACCCACAATAGCTTTTCTGTATGCCAGCAATCAGAAGAATGAGGCTGAACTCAAGAAAGCAACTCCTTTGCAATAGCATACATATAAATATATATATATATATATATATATATATATATATATATACACACACACACACCTAGGAGTTAATTGAAGATATGAAGGACATCTATGATGAAAACTTTAAAAACCTGAAAAAGAAATTAATACAAGAAGTGGAAAAACTTCCCATGCTCCTGATTTGGGAGGATTAGCATTGTGAAAATGGCAGTACTGCCCTAAGCTATCTATCATATTTTTAGGAAGCAAAATTTTTGAGTAAAATACTTTGAATTAACAATTTTAAGCAATATAAAA